TTCTTTCTGTTTGCATGCATTTTTCCTCGTCACATGTATTCTTCTGACTGCTGGATATTATGTAAGGGGAAAAGAATCCTTTTTCTTTTTCTTTTACTTCTTTTCTGCTTGTAATAATTATAAAAAATGAAAAAAAGACTAGTTTAAATAAAAATGTCATTCTTTGTGTGCGTCAATGTCCTTATTAGTAACCGATGTATAGTTATGAGATGGTTCACTTAAAAAAAACACACCCCCACACCCACACCCTCTTTTTTAGCTTCTCATCCATAATCGAGGTCTGCCTATGATTACCAGATACAGATTAAACTACTTGAATAGTTCTGAAGCTTCCTTCATCATTTAAAAATAACACTTACTCTCCAAGTAGTTTTTCCAATTAGTCTACAATAAAGAGAAAATGAATTAATCTTAAATAATAAAATAAATCTACCGTTACAGCTCATATATGAGTTGATCTAAAAAGACAAAACAAACATGTTTATTTTCTATAGTGAAAGAATACGGTGTTGAGATCAATCTATAATAGAAAATAAGTGCATTTATTGAACATAATAAACGTACCGAATAATGTCGAAGGTTTCGAAAAATATTGGGTTCGGCAGCTTTGCTGTCAAACCTATTACTATATAAAATTAATTAATTAATCGTCATACCACCACCTGTGGTCAGCGCATACTCCATTGCATTTCTTTTCAACATTTGTCATACGCAGTATCTTGAACTTGTCACTTGAGTTTGTATCTCAGTACATAGGATAGGTTCAGTAAGCTGGTAACACATCCTCGTGGGTACCAGTAGTGACTTTTCGAGGGCTATTACAGTAATAGTATGCGCAGATTTTTAGATCTATCAGAGAGTGAATCTCGTAACTACATAAAACTGTATCATTGCAGTACCTATAATTTCTGGAAAACTGACACTTCGTCTCACCTCTTCATAGCGAACTCCGGTAGCAGTCATTCGTTACGATCTCCGGGCATAAGAAAAAAGACTGGATGTTCGGGATGGATTTCTCAATTGAAAAGTCAATAAAATATAGCGAAAACCAGGATGTTCGTAAGTCTGTTGATATTTGCTTACTTTTCAGAGATTGTGAAGTAACAAGCTTATTTTACAGTCTATGGTAGAGGATGAAGAGCGTTTTGATAAATGTAACCAATCAAGATTGCTTTTATTTTTATTATTCTAACTCTAATTAAATAACAAAGAAATATTTTCTCTTCGCTTTTTAATTTAATCTTTAATAAATATAGAGCTTAATATCATAAGAACAGCAATAATATTTACAAAGAAAAAAGTTTGAAATAGCTATTCTTTCATACGTTTCTTTTTTACACCACTGTTTGTACCCTTAGCAAGTTTAGCATCAGTTGACGTAGTATTATTGCAAATAGAAAAAAGGTTATAAACATTAACACTTTCTTTAGTTAAAAGAAAAGCAAGACACTTACATATGTGAGACAGGTGCATCATCATCATCATTCTCTTCATTTTGTGATAAATGTTGATGTTTTTTGGCACTAACTGTTTGTTTGTCCTTCGATTTTGTAGCAGTAACAACCGATTCAGATGATGACGTCCAGGATGATGACGAAACAATAGCATTACGACCATTAGGGTTTAGGTCTAAGACGATTCACCATTGGAGTCGAACGTAAACAAAATGTCAGAGCATGTTTTTTTATCGGTGTTTTCCAGAACCGTTCTTCCGGTCTTTTTACGTAAAAAAACCGTTAAACATACATTCTGAACATCCGACATTGTTCATTACGATCTCCAGTCATTATATAGCATTGCCAAAAAATATTTTATTCCAAACACTCGGTCACACCATTCCGATTTCCGTGCTTTTCTGTTACGATCTCCTGTACAATAATGTTTACGAACTCCTGTCATAAGTTTTTAGAGATAAAAATTCATTTCCAAACATCCGGTTACATGTCCGGAGTTCGGAATGACCTGAGACGAAACGTCCTTCACCCTAATTTCTAAGGTCTATCTTTTAGTGCCACCTCTGTCTTCTTATGAGCCATCTAAATACATTTCATACAAGGTTCATCTGAGTTATCACCGAGAAGGAATTAATTTTAATTGCTCCAATTCATCGAAAAGCTCAAGACATCATTGAAAAACACTGTAACATATTGATTCGATGAAAAGTCGATTTAATTAGTTACAAAATGCCAGAAACGATGAAAAATGATTAGATATCATCTAGAGTCGATAGAGATCATCGCAAATCAGTAAATACTTTCGACAATGTTACAATGAGAATCAGATTATTTTTTTTATTAATTTTCATGAATCCAATTCTTTCAGATTTTTCTTGTTCGGTACGATTTGTTTTAGACAATTGTATTTATCTATCTCATTGTCCATCATTTTTAATCCTTTCGATTAAAGTATGGAATCTTTTGATATCTTATGAAAGTTTTGGTAATTCTAAAGAAAATATAGGAAACCTTTTGACACTCCTCAAAACTACTGAGACTTGAGTGTCGAATACATGGAACCTTCTGATTCCCTACAAAACTACCAAAGGTTTCGTGCAAGATATATGAAACCTTCAAAAATTTGACTTAACCATCCAAAGTTCAGTACATGATGCACAACATTCGCAAAGAGTATTTTATTGAAAAACTACGAAACTCTGTGAAATCTACGGAACTTAAAATGGCTCTAAATGCAAACCGAAACACCATTTTCAGTTCACTAAACCTCAAATTATTCCGTAGAAATAAAAAAAACTTTCGAAGATCCTTAAAAAATCTATTCAGTTTTACTGTGTAGCTCTAGATTAATGGAAAGAAAAAGTTCATTAACATCTTTCAGATAGTTTAGTTTTCCACACGTTACTGTTTTTTTACGATAAGATCAACAGAAAATGCAAATGAGATCTTTCTCTACTTAATTGCTTTATTTCGATGTTCAAATTTTTGGTCAGTTCTCTTTTTTCTTTTTTGTACGTCAGTGAATCTTTTTTGTAAACAAGGTACATTTTCATATTGCTTTTCAACAATTTCACACTGAATTGAAAAATCTTATTCTTAGGAAAAGAAAAAATTGGGCTTTGAAACCTATAGTGACGCGTTTATCTTTTATATATAATCCTATGTAAACAAATAAATGAATATCCCTTGATTAAAAACTTTCTTTAGACATTTTAAGTTTTATTTGTTTCGTGTATTACTGTCGGCCTCAAAAGTCTCCTTCCACTGTTTTGTTTTGAGTCGTGTATTAAAACTATACAACATTAATTTAATTCAATTATACATTTGGATAGCAGAGATCGAGTAGTATATATATACACCTATTCAATTTGAAAAACTCTTGAATATGAAATACAATAAGAAAAACAAACTTCACTACTAAGAAAAAAATGATATAAAAAACTACAAAATGATATTGTTTTTATAGGATACTTCCATGGTCAATCAACCATGACAAACACAAAGTATTTAAAAAATTTCCATTTATTAGACTTTGTAGAGCTTTTTTCACTGATCATTTTCGTAAAAAAACGTTTTGAATTTCATTGAGAAATGACGGTATTATAGTCAAAATATTAAATACTGTGAAATATTGGGTGCCCCAAAATGTTTGCAACATAGTGTGTTCTGCGAATATTTCTGTACAGACAAATGATAAAATCTTGGTTTTTCTTTCAAAAGATGCGTCATGGAAAGCTCAACAAGAACAAAACCCTATTAACTTCTTTTGATAGTTTCTTCCATACTCAAAATGAAAAGAAAATACATGATAGGGCTACTTCCCACAGTATTTAACGTAATCAAAATGTTTGGAAGACTTTTATATTTTGCATGTATCTCGACTTAAGAAAATGATAGCATTTTGATTTTTTTTTGAAAAGATGTGCCGTCCAAAGCTCTATAAAAGCCATATAAACAAATTCCTATTGCAAAACAAAAAGTCTCCCAAACATTTTTATTATGATTTTGTAGTTTTTTATGTTATTTTTTTCTTAGTACTGAAGTTTGTTTTTCTTATTGTATTTCATATTCAAGAGTTTTTCAAATTGAACAGGTGTATATATATACTATTCGATCTCTGCTACCCACATATATAATTGAATTAAATTAATATTGTATAGTTTTAATACACGACTCAAAACAAAAAAAAGTGGGGCGAACCTTTTGAGGTCGACAGTACTTTTTTGAATATTCTAAATTAAACAAAGTATACATTTTACACAGGAAAACGACTCAATGTACTAAAGAAGACAAATGAGTTCACATTTTAGTATTAACCGAACTGCGCTGACGCGCATTTTTCTTGAAAAAATTCTTCTAAAGTTGTACAAAATCGATAAAATGATTTAAACAACTGAAAGTATTGACGAGAAATGACTAAACAGAATGTTAAAAAATAAGTTATTTTCTGTGGAAAAATTGTCTTGATATGCACATTAAATACTGTTAAGGTTCAAAAAAGAACTCTTTTTTTATCAATATTCTTGGCTGATTTTCCTTGCTAGTTTCAGATTTACTTTTGTGATATTTAATTATTATTAAAAGCGTTTAAGTTCTCTTTTTATCGTAGATTCGTCAGTAAAACAGTGAATAGCAAAATCTGAATACATGATCCACTTAATCTGACATTTTCCCTCATAATTCTGAATAAAAGAAGGTTCAGAATTGAAACTATATCTCATTTATTGCCTTTTGTCAGTTGTAACAAATAGGATGATACTTATGTGCTGATATCGAACTATCGTATAGTTATCAAACGTTTTCTATACTTTTAAGCGGTCAAATTCACATTTATGCTGATCCGTCAAAATGAGACTTGTATACTACATGAAATTAAATATTGTACTAAGCTTATTATTTTTATCTTTTTGAAGAACTTTTTTTCTCCTTTTATATTCTGTTTAATTAAGAAGATTTTTAACATATAGAGAAAACTTTTTATTTTAAAAAACTTCAATCTACTTGAAATTAGATCGTTTTAGAAAAACAAATAAAATTTTTTGAATCATGTCATCCAACGTATGGCCAAGAACAGAGTCAAAACGACAACGAATAATGGTTTTTGTTGGCGATGATAGTATCATTGATCAAATAGAAAACAACAACAGTGTATCATTTTTAAAAGAAATTCTTCTTTCGTCCGATGGTAGTAGTAGAGAAAGATTTGATAAACAGGTTAGTGTTAGATTATTCTGAAAGACAAAAAACGAATGTATTGTATTCAGAGCAAGATTCAACCATCAGATAAGAAGGTTAAACCTAAAAATGGTTCTTTGATTTGTGTCGTTTGTGGATCATCAGCACATGGATACAATTTTGGTGCAATTGCATGTGAAAGTTGTAAGGCTTTCTTTCGACGTAATGCTCGCAAAGATCTTGTAAGTTTCAGAAAATACTATATCATATTTGTGATGTTAAGATAAAAAATGTTGTTCGAATTAAATTCAATTTTTCGTCATTGCAAATCTCAATGGAATTTCTATCATCTTTCATAAATTTGATGAGAATAAGATCAGTCGATCGAATCGAATATTCTTTTTTTGCGAAAAACACAGAGAGAACATCGATGGTATCCGTAAGTCATTTCATGGGATTAAAACGTTGAAGAATCCTTGGTATGATATATATGAAATGTCCAAACGAAGCATCTCTTTGCACCATAAACATTATTTCTAGAATATCATTAGATTGTTCGAAATTGATTCACGAGAAAATCCTTCAAGGTACTAAAAAGTTTTCCCACTGATGATACGATGGTTAGATAAGGCATGGCCAGGAATGAAACAGTCTAAGTTAGCTTGGGCTCAAAATGTTTCTAGAAAGAGTTATGAGCTGTTAAAGTTATAAGTATAAGTGTCAACTCTACTTGTGAATTTTAGTTTTGTTTAGATTCAAAGGAAAATGATGGAAAGAGAAAGAAACTTTTCAAAATGTTCTTCTTAACTTTGCAGTTTTTCATGTTATACTGTTTAATTAACTCCATTGCATTCTATTTTTACATTGTCAAGTGGTGTTTTTATTTTTGTTTCTTCTAGTTCCTACACTTCCGCAGGCACATTAGTGAAACATGAAAAGGTTCAAAGTTAAGAAGAACATTTTGAAAAGTTTCATTCTTTTGACATTCTTTCCCTTGGAAGTTGAGGTTTTCAGCTCATCAAAAACACAACTTTGAATAGACATGATAAAAATTTCAAGTTAATAGGTCATTTTCTGTTTGACAAAATCAACATTTATAACTTGAACAGCTTATAACTCTTTCTCGAAACAACTTGAGCTATTTCACTTCTAGCTATGCCTTATATAATCTTCTTATTCTCAGTTGAAAGGCTTTTTAGCACTTCGAAAGTTTCTCTGGCCAGTTCATATTAGTAAAATTAATGTTAGCATAAATTTGATCAACTATTTGATAATAACAGAAACTCAAATTGGACCCGAATATTCGAATAATATAATTGGTTAGTACATATGTACAGTTTTTAAAGTTGTTAATCTTTCTAAGTTTATGTATTTCCAGATATTTTAAGTCTCAAAAATATAAAAGCCTATTTTGGCTCAATGCTCAAGAGACTTGAAAATTATCTTATGAGAACGATGTTTATAAACTGATTTAACTTTCACCTTTGACAAGAACATAAAGACAGAAGCTATCTATTGTTTTTCGTTGTATAGTTCAAGTCACAACAGTACATATAACTTGAAATTCATCTGTTTTCTGTATAGTTTTAACGATCACCAAAAAACGAATGTGTTGTTTTTGTATTTAGAATACTCTGCCTTGTAAAAACGAAGGCGGTTGCCAAATAACATTAGAAACACGTCGTAATTGTGTGGCCTGTCGCTTAGTCAAATGTTTTAATAGTGGAATGCAACGTGATCGACTTTCTACGGTATCAAGAAAATAAAAGAAAAATCTTTCATAAAACTAAGTTTTAGGATGAACAAAAAGCATCAAAACATCGTCAAATAGAAGAAAATCGAAGTCTAGCATTGCGTTCAAATTTTCAAACAAATGAACAAGACTTTCAATTGTCATCATCTACATTTTTGGACGATGTAAGAATATTAAAAAAAAGAAAAGAAAGAAACATGATTTCATTTATCTATTCTTGTATTATTCTCAGTTATTTACATCGATAGACACAAATATTCTTCTCACAGATTTTACTTATCTTCTGTCACCTCAATCACAACAGACACTACTCAATTCGGAAGATCTACAACGTATAGAAACTATATCAGTTTTTTATCAAAAGCGTATCGAGTTTGGTAAGCGAGTAGTTTTGTTGATCTTTTCTCTTTTCAT